CTACCCTAAGAGTCCACCTCTACATCAAAACAAACTCTCCATGCAAAGATAGGGAGCAAATATATTAGCAGGGTTGCCATGTTTTCAGTTTTGGAGTCCCCAAATAAAGTGGCAGCCCTGTCCATGTATTTGCTCCCTATCTTTGCATGGAGAGTTTGTTTTGATGTAGAGATGGACTCTTAGGGTAAAGTGGGATATCCCCTCCATTTTGGCCTCACTTTGAGAGTTTTTTTTGAGCTTGGGAGATGATTTCAGAGAAAACCAGTGGCACCATCGTGTTTCTCGCGAACTTTTTCAAAAGAATCAATGGTCAAATCGCAAATCCCTCACACATGCAACATCTCCATTAGAATGGGCCTCTAGACAAGATACGCACGAGGAAAACAAATCACACAAAGAAAAGTCTGGAAATCAGCTCTTCATGAGAAAAAAAGTTTTAGGGATTAATTAACCCATGAAATTGTGGTACTCCCCCAATTTTTTGGACGATGTAAACATTTCAAATTAAATTCGGAAGTACCGCAACATTTGGGTTAGAAACCTAATTTATTGGAGCACTACCACAATTAATCGGTGTGCTACCGCAATCAATTGGGGTACTGTCACAACTAATTGGAAATGTTTATATTATCTATCAGCTTGGACTTAAGCTTACATTTTTTCCCCGTGTTTGGACAACATGTATCTAAGTGTTTACAACTGGGTCTTGTTTAACAGGAGAGAAACAGCTCGATTGCAGTGTTGTACATTGTATAATGATATCATGAATGTACTGAATTAATATCAAAATGAACTTTCAGGATCGAACTCACAAAGCACTTGACATTTACTGAAAAGTTTTGTTTTCATAATAAAAGAAAGTTTAGATTTTCCTTGAGGCACGTTAAGTTACTCTTGGAGGGTTCATTAGCAGGTTCTAGGGCTTGGATACGTCCCATAAAAGTTCAAAGCTGCATGCATGAATATTAGTTAATCAAATATTAGATTTATATCATGTGATTTAATTGAAATTTGATATTGTGGAATAGAGGCACGGTTTTTAAAATTTCGCAGAGTGCTGGGAAAATCTCCCGTTGAACTCTCGGAGGTCACAATTGTTCGCACTTCCTTTTAATGCTTCATAGATTGGACTTAGCATTTCCTTCAATCCTAAATTACATATTTAAGGAGGGATAATTTTGACCTTTTCTTCTCTGGAATCCTCTCTTCAAGAGGCTTAGAAGGAAGGAAGAACTCAAGGCTCTTACCAGTTCCGTTGATCCCCGAGGGCCGTATCCTTGCGTCGTAACTTCCAGGACCGAGGATTTGATCCAAGACCTCCTTCTCTTTCTCTCTGTAATTAGTCTTATGTTGTTGGGCTCCCCTGTAATAGAAACTGTAATTAATTAAATAATTATTCATCATCGTTATCGAATTCACTCACACAAATGTTAAACAACACAGAGCTGGCTTAACTCTAAAAGCACATCATTATAGCTCTCCAAGTTCCAAATCATCATTACATCTAGAGATCTACCAAGTCCGTTTCCATGGTTTCCTAGCAGTCGACAGTTATTAATTGGACGTATTTCTACCAAACAGACCTATGTGCAAGTGAGAAATATGGGGTGTGCTCGTTAGTTCTCTTTGCGTAAGAGTGAATGATAATAATAAAGCACCAGTGACGTCAGCGACAACGAACGAGCGCCGGCACGACGGGAAGATCGCTAGAGTGGGCCCTCAACTCATGAGCCCTGTGCACAAGGCTCTCTTGCCATGCCCGCGGCTCATGACTCCCGCATTCAATTGGCACATAGGTCTGTTTGATAGAATGTAAAATCCCGCTTTTCCAATTCTACAAAAGGAATCACGTCCACTTTTACATTGCTTCTTATGCAGCTTCGACGAGCACACCCCATATTTCTCACCTGCACATAGGTCTGTTTCGTAGAAATACGTCCAATTAAAACCTTGGGTGCAGAAAGGAATTTTTTGGTTGCGTTGTCTCAGAATCTCCAAAAAATTGTCAAAAAATTCACTGAATAGGTACCTAGTTTCCTCTCTCGAATATAAATTAGCAGTGCCGATTTTGAGACACCGCAACCGAAAAACACTCTTTCTGCCCTAAACGCTTCAACTAGGTATTGCTAGACGAACCCACTGTCTTTAAACTTATTCCCAATGGGCCTCATCAGACTGATGGATCGGTCAGAGGAAATCCAGTTTCTAAAATTTTGGCGTCATATTGCTCTCCTAGGTGACACCAGAGGTGGATCCAGCAATCTGGCAGCATCGGATTGCAATGCCTCCATGGCCCCTCTAAGAATCGATACATTTTCATAGGTTTAAGGAGAAAAATCAATGTTGCCAATTTTCCCTGGCAGTTACTTTTGTGGAATAAACATTCATCTACATATATTTCATACCCTCCAATGGGCCTCGGGAAAAAAATCATAATCTGTACCACCCTATCTTTTTTATCATCAATGCCCAAGGATTTCTTGATCGACCATCCAATTATTTTTGTCTGAAATATCATCTTTGAATTTTTCTCTTCCGTCCTCTGTGTAAGCAGAGAAAATTAAGTGCCCCAGGGTCATGTTAGGTATTGAACTACTTACCATCCTGAATTGATGAGGCACATCGTCAACATGATGAAAATACTTTTGTACAAAGACATTGTGTCAGCTTGTCCTGAAACAAATTATACACAACTTATTACAACGAGAAATCAAAAAGTAAACTCTATAATTTTAATGAAGTTTTCAATTGGCTACGCGGGAACGAGTAGGTTTTAGGTACGATTTAACACAATACTTGTCGACAACTCAACTTGACTCGATACTTGTCATACTTGTGGCCTTGGGCCGGGCCGGATTAAGGGGGTGGCCACATGGGCCGCGGCCCATGGCGGCTTTAGGGGGCGGAAAATTTTGCAATTTTTTTTAAATGTAGGTATAAAAAAAATCGGATTCAGAAAAAAAAATTATCCATAAGAAAAGGAAACGAAATCTCTTTTTCCTGAGAGTATAGTAATTTCTAATTTTGTCGTTTCTCGGTGATACAAGAGACAGCATCTTTAATTAGTCGAGTTATAAGAGAGGAACTAAACACACAATTTGGCCTGGAGCTCAGCGCAGAGAGGAATGATGACGAGGACTTGAGATGAAAAGGACAAGCCCTCGGCGCGGCGCGGCGGTCAGCATGTAACACATATTAGCGCCTACAAGACTGCATGAATACTTCACCCATTGCGCCAAACACAATGCGGTCACGCGGTCAGGAGCGGTTGGCGTGAAACTCATAGCGCCTACAAGACTGTAAGAATACTTCACGCATTGCGCCAAACAGTGCGATTAGCGCGATGCGACGCGGCGCAGCGGTGGAAGTTAAATTATAAAACCACATTTATGTCTGTTCTTTCATAATTTTTTGGTTCATTTCTTATAAATGGAGGATCTTGCCCACACAGAGATAGGTTTTAACTTTCGCGTCAAGTTCCGTGAAATTTTGCTAGTCCATGCCGAATAAGTTTACGTCCTTTTGGACAATGACAGAAGATCCACCATCTTGATTTTTTCATTTACTTTATTTGTAAAAGTGACGTCAGACGATCCTCTATCGCAGTCTAGAAGTGCGTAAACTCATTTGGCGTGGACTCTTTAAAATATCAAGAGAATTTTTCACCTGGCCTCATTCGTCATTTTCAGAAGGGAATGACTAAATATGATGGATAACTGAGTATGAATAAATATGGATAAGCTGTTAGGCTGATCTCGGATGCACTGATATCAGTGTATAGCCAACTAGAGTCCACGCCAAATAAGTTAACGCCCTTTTGCACTGCCACAGGAGAACCGCCATCTTGATTTTTCCATTTAATATACACTTAAAAGTGACACCAGACAATATTCTATCGCAGTCTGGAAGTGCGTGAACTTACTTAGCGTGGACTCCAAAAAATATCAAGAGAATTCTTCACCTTTCCTCAATCGTCATTTCCAGAAGGGAATGACTAAATACGGGTAGCCGAGCGTTTATTCCGCCCTGTCGGACGAGAAGAAAAGCCGAGAAATCTCCATAATCGTCAATGCTTTTGACTGCTCGTATTTTTAGCCGCTCAATCGGGTTGCTCCTGAATGGGGGTGTAAATCTAAGTACTTATGAATTAGAGGCGCAACTGGAGCCGAGACAGCTTCGGAGTTTGTAAGCTTTTAGGGGAAACGTCAAGCGCCGGAGCAGTGGAGCAGTGAAGCAGACAACAATGGTTGACAGAGGCAAAGCTATTAACGGGACACAAAAGTGGCTCTTAATAAAAAGAGAGTGGTATCTTGAGGAAACAACTTTCGCTAAGTGAACCGTCCGCGCCGCGTCGGCAGCGAGTAAATATAGGTTAAAAGAGGGAAAGACGGCCCCGGCCGAGCTGGCGCGCTGCGAGAAATGGCAAACCGAATCTCCTGAAATTGATCCAGTCGTCAAGGAAACAATGATGTCAAGAAATCCAGTGACGTCATCGCTATGACGCGCTGCGCCCCGGCGCCCTATTTACTCCCGTTTTCCGTTTGCGCACACAGCCTCCCCCCGATTCCGGTTAACCCGGTCCATTGCCTCGGTTCTCGGTTCCTTGCCCCCCGTTCCCCGTTCGCCGTTCCGCGTTCCCGGGTTCCCGCTCCCCCCGCAGAGTTCCACTTCCGGCCGTGAGCCACTCATTTTACGCAACCGTTTCACCGTTTGGACATTCAATGAATCTGAATAAGATGCCTTTTGTGTCACTTCGCCTCGGTCTTTGCCCGCGACCTAATAATCAAAAGTTCAAAAACCCCCATTTAATTTCAAGAGCTCGTGCCTCGTTGAGGGAGGTTTTTTTTTTTAGAAAAAAAAATGTTCCCTCATTAAGAAGCATCACGATCCGGCTCACCGCAATGCTCCCGACTGGAGCTACTGTTTTTTGTCTCAATTGTCGAATCCGTTTTGCCCTCCCCCGAAAGTTCGCCTCCTTCTCTCGCCGACGTTCTCATCACTCGGCGCTGAAAAAGAAGCGCAGTATTATGATACCCTTACAAAAGGCTCCTGCTCACGTAAAAGCTTGGGTTTCCTCAAGTGTGTGATTATACTTTTGTGTGTGTGTGTTGAGCACACTAGACTCCTCCACGAGATGAGGTGTTCGAGAACGCGCTGGGTTCGTACCTTTGCTCCGAAGTTTGTCTAGGTTTAAAATGGCGCCCCACAAAAGAAAGGTCAGATCGAGGTCGAGAAAACTTGGGCGATGAAAAGCACACACTGAGAAAAAAAGTTCGGGTATTTGAACCGCAAGTTCAGTGTTGCATATCGACCGCACTATTCGGTCCTCATAAACGTGCTCTCGATTCTGAGGTAGTTTTCATAGTCGTTTCTTAAACAGCTCCTCTCCTTGGGGAGACGCAACACAGTAAAACGAGCTAATAAAAGAGGTCGGACATGAAATTTGTCGCTGAATTTCCAAATTTGGATGTTTCCTTCGTCAAAAATTCAATTTCAAGGGGAGTTTCTGAAAGAAATTTTCAGAAAAAAAAAACAAATAAACTACCCCTAAACTTGTCTGTTTCATATTTTCGAAAATATAAGCTTTCAAAGTTTCCCGGTTTGGTACGATTTCTCCTATTGACTTGGTCCTTAGTGCGTCATCTAATTTAAATTGTGATTAAGGGAAGTTTAAGGCGGTTTCGACATGGCTTCATTGAAAGACACATTTAATGAGCCTTGAGCGATATTTAAGAGTCTCACTTCGGAAATTTTAGGCGCATTTGGCGCGTTTGCGCCTGAGAGTTTCGAACACTGATGCTAATTCTTTATAGTATTTTGTCTCTCGTCTCATAATAGTGCCTACAAGACTGCATGAATACTTCATGCATTGCGTCAAACACAGTGCGGCCAGCAGCGGTCGCGGTCGGCGTGAAACGCATAGCGCCTACAAGACTGCATGAATACTTCACGCATTGCGTCAAACACAGTGCGGTCAGCGTGAAACGCATAGCGCCTACAAGACGGTAGGATCAGGTACAACAACCAGTGAGTGTTTTAATAGCTGATCCCACGAGATTTCCGCGGTGTTAAAGTTATTTTATTCGAAGGCAGAAATTAATTTTCCTCTAATAATGGTTAATAATTGACGAGCTGTGCAGTATTTTTGTACGCAGGACCGCCAAACCTCACAAACTGCTCAACTCGGAATTCATGAGCCATCACTGAGCAAAGAAATTTCTGATCACATGGCTAATCGATCTGTTTTAGGTGAAAAGACGGTATTAATTCTCGCAGGTAGCTTTTTTTTTGTCAGATTACATTGCTTGAAATACTGGAAAATTTTTCTCCAAAGATAAATGCAGCATTAATCCTCCACGTAATTTCCGTAGCAGTATTGACAATTACATTTTTATTTTAAAAAACGAAAATAAATGAAAAAACTTTTGAAATTTACGAGTTACAGAACCCTTTTTGTTTACTTAAAACTGAAGTTAATAAGAGAGTTACTGGAGGAGGGTATGAAACAAATTGACATCAATTTTTTATCAACTTCTGAAAATCACACTTATTGATGCTAGACACAAAATGAAATGATGAGTATGCAACGTGAAAACTAAAATTTTGTGTAAAGTTTGCGTTAAAATTTACTTCAATGAAGTGATGAATAACTTTTAAAACTGCAAGGCTGCATTTTCACGTAAAAAAGAACTTGGTCTTTGTAACCGAAATTTCTGTTTGAAAACAAGCTATTTAACATTTATTTCAACAGCCAATGCTACGAGGAGTTTTTAGGGATTGAAATCTCGTTAAAACAGTTATTGACCCCGGCTCTAGAGCATTGCCAAATTTTTCGATGAGACATACCGAATTACTGACAATATATTCTTATCATTATCGTTCTTATCTGCACATTTTTAGCCGTTCATTGTCTCAATGCACGGCAAGTTGGCAGCGAACCAGGAAGAGCCGTAGAGCCGTGCGCTAGACGCATATTATGACGGTTCAACGTGCCGTGTTGAATGCATTCTTATCGAGCTTTGCTACACTGTTGTGCCTAGTAACACGAATAAGGTTAGAAGAACTTTGAAGCCACAGTTTAATTCCACCTGCATGCTTTTGGCTTTTGTTCGCTCCCACTTCTCCGCTCCCTCGCTCTCACACACTGTCAAAAGAGCACACTCTCAATCAACTCACGACTTTTATCTTCTCTTTCGCATAAACTTTTTCTCCCCCCTCTTTTTTTTCAGCCCCTCACCGCTGCGCACTTCACTTTTCTCATATTTAGCCTCAGCCTCCTCTTCAGCGCCTGGGATGAGCACTGCCTGTAGTATAAGCTCCCTCTAAAGTGCCTGCCTCCTTCTAAAAAGAGAGAGAAAAAATTCACGGGAACTTGTAAAAAGTATCGTACTGCGCAGCCGTTAAACTTCAAAATATGTAGGATATATTTATTTATGACAGGCGACTTTAAACATGCAAGGTAGAGCTCCTGTATAGTAGTGAGTGATTTGCGATTTTATCGACTTCGCCCATGTGATATTCCACGAGACATGAGAGGCTACTAGCAGTCTAGTTTAAAATCAACATCTAGGCTCGTAAAAAGTTTCCAAAGTCGACGCCATAATACACTGAAAAATCAGTTACGGGCTATATAGACGTACCATCCGTTCCGGGATCAGAGGCTACATAGCCCG